CCCTCCCTGGAAGTGTTCAAGGCCAGGTTGGATGAGGCTTTGAGCAACCTGGTCTAGTTGAAGGTGTCCCTGCTGATGGCAGGGGGGTTGGAACTAGATGATCTTTAAGGTCCCTTCCAACCCAAACCATTCTATGATTCTGTGATCATTTTATGATGAATCAGCTTTAATAATGTAAATCCAAGTAGGCTAAAGCTCATCTGGGAGCAGACACTGTAGGAGATACTTTATGAAAAAAATAGGAACAGGTTTAAACTAGTCTTGTTGCCAGCAGGCTGAGAGGGACCAAATCGTGCTGCATGAAGCAGTCATGGAATGGCACTGCAGTACTGTGAGGGCTGAGGCTGCCTGACCAGTGCACTGCTGGCAGCTGGGGAAAGCAGCTTCTATACGCAACTGGGGACAGCCCCTCACAAGAACTCAGGCCCTGCCTCCATGTCATGTCATACTCTAAAAATGTTAATTTCTGTAAAACGCAGAGAATCTGTAACAAGGACCCCCCTCAGGAGCACACTCTTTTGATTAACATAACTTAGCCTCAAAGGCAGAGCACACCCATTCTCAGCATGTGTAAACCTCCTTGTTCTCAGCACTAAAACCAACTCCTGATGGACTGTGTCCAATTCCCCCACTCGCTGTTCAAATGCATTCCCAGGTAGTCCACGTTCAGGCTGCCATTTGAAGTTCCAGTAACCACAAAATGCCAAGTGACCGTGCTTATACGCACCATTTCCAGTTTATTCCAATTAATTTTACAAGGAAATGCACTAGGTAGCCTTCAGAGACTACAACCAGATTCTTACTGTTTTGAATCAAGGACTAGAGCTGTTAGTGCAAAGCCAAATCGTGTTTTCCTTGGCGTGTCAGGAGCCCACACTGCTATCTGGCTTCTCTAGCTATATAATTTCAAGTGCTTCAGACTAGGTTAAGTAGCAGAGACTAAAGGAGTAGCCTTGCCTCACACATCTGCACAATGGAAAGCAATGCTACTGTGACCCCAGCAGGCTTCCAGATGAATTCCTTGGAGGAGAGACTTTTGCTATCCAAGACAAATTCAATGTACTAGCAGAATAGGCACCTAGGAAGATGTTAGAAAGCATGTTTCTTTGTCTCTCGAGGCTATAATGTCATCAGATCATGTGGAAAAATAAAATAATTTCCTTGTCTATGAGGTAAACAATGTCCCAGCTTTTTAATAGTATATTGATGCCACATGTCTTGGTTCTTTATGGGGATTACCTGCCTGGAGAGCTTCCTTTAAAACATGCAGGAACATTGCAATACGCCCTGGTTTAAAGTATCTAAAAGCTTTTCAACAGAATTCAATGTTAATCTGCTGATACAAAACATACACATTTATGTTGGAGAAAACAGGTTAAGGGAAAATGTGCGTTCCACACGAACTGAGAGGTGACAAGATTAATGGCACACTCTTTTGGGGAGGGGGATATTAATTTTAGTCTGGGACCAGACTCTTGCAAAATTCAATGTGCTGCACAGACACGCTGCACGTCTGTTACAGAGTATTACTGCTCTAGAAGAGCACAGCTGTCAAGCACCATCTTCTTCCCTTCAGTTTAGGCAGTCTTCAGTTATTCTGGGCCCAGGGCTTTACAGACTTTAAAGCTATGGGTAGAAAACTTTAAATAATTAGAAATTCTAGGGAGCAGATGGGCAGGTTATGATGGCCCACACACTCCTCTGTGTCTGAGGAAATGCATCACAATGCTGCAATGTCTGAACGTCCAAGTGGAAAACCTTGTACTGATCAGCTAACTGGTGATAAATGTGTGAATGAGTAATGAAGAAAGAAAAGTAGACAGGCTAAAACAACTGATGCACAATCAACAGGAAAATATCCATGTGTGGGTCTAAAAGTTTACTGCTTATAGTCAGACTGAATTTTAGTTCAAAAGTTTTCTGTTTAGAAGAGAAGTACTAGTTAGATATCAAAAAAATCCCAACATGTAAATGAGATACTTTGTATGAAAATGTGCTCATTATGGAATCCCAAAGCATATGTTTAATCATTTGGAAATGAGACAACGCACATATTATTTCCCAACATGAATTCCATTTTAAGAGCAAATATAGAACATTCTGTATTGTCACTCCTTTCCTAACAATAGCTAAAATTAACTTCTAAGTTTAGCCATTACACAAAGCATATTAAATTAAAAGTTATTTGAACTACTTAATAACTCATTAATCTAGACTGAAGGGCCCAAGAGCAAAGTCCCTGATCTAGACAACTGAGCTGTACAGTAGATATCTGCAACCATTAGCATTATTTTCACTACCAGAATGCTAACGCACGTATTAAGATTATCCTTTTAAGGAACTCGGGGCATTAATACAAAAGCAACTAGTGCTGTTCACTGGGCAACACCGTTTTCAAAATACATCAAACTCTCCTAGCTCATGCTCTTTCCTATAACACTCTACACCTCTCCTTGTCTCTTCTCTTCTGTGAAGCATGGTCCATGCTCAGGTGGATGGCTCACGCAAAGCAGAACAGTTGTGCTAAGAAACCAGGTGCAGCACTTCCTTTGGTCTATGGGAAGACAGATGAGGTGAGATAGTCACTGCCTCCGTTGACTTTTGCACCTCCTTCTCCAGTCTAGTTAGAAAGAAGCAGGTTGCCAGTCTTGTAAGTCTGCCTGCATCTCTCCTTCACCGTGTGCATGCATGCCTGTGCTATGAGTAAACCAGATTGCCTGCTCTGCAAAAGTCAGCAAGGAACTTCCCAAAAGACCGGGCCGGTTAAGGCTGGGCAGATTTTTTGGCTTTTCTTCCAGCATCAATTATAATATTGGAAAAATAAAATCTCGCATTTGAAATATATTTATCTGGGTAACAAAAACCACTGCAATCCCATTCAAGGGTCATTAGTAAGTGGTGAAATTTTTAATTTTAGACGTGTAAGTTGAAGTTTCAGTAAAAGAGGCAGAGATACAAGCACCTCGGTAGCACAGCAAGCAAACTGCATTTTCTTTTCCTAATACAGTATTTCAACGAGTATTAAGCGATATCTCTATCCAGTAAATGAATGACTGGGAACTCTACATGCTGGACAGGGAAGATACCTGGATATACCTGGTGGTTAAATAAAATTGCAGACTACCATTTATATCTTATTTTTGTAAGTCAGTGACATTTTCTATCTGGTATCAGAGACTGGAATTACTTTGAAAAACAAGCAAACTCATATGCAAATTGTGAAAGCATTGTGGAAATAAAGAACTATCCCAAACACCAAACTTCCATTGCAGTATCTCAGCTTTAAAGAACACAGCAATTTAAAAAATTGTATTTTTACGCTTAATCTGTTTTGTGTGAAAGTAATACTATAACTGCCATAATTATTAAAAATAAGGGGTAAAAACATATGCACTGACTACGTTGTACAGTCAGATTCACTGCTTATTAAGATAATCAACTTCTTTTGTGAGAGACGAAGACAGGAAAGAAAATAAAACTTAGAAGAAAAGTGATAATTTGGACTTTGACACGTAGAAATATAGACACTAGAAGAATGTCAAGATAGTTGTACTCCCCAAAGCTATTTAATTCTTTTTTGAACAGACTACAACTCCATTTATAATCTACTAAGAAACCATATTAAATAATATTTTCTGGTTACAATAGCTTCTGATTTTTCTCAATGGAGAATTCTGAAGACTAAATTTGAAGCAAGACAAAAAGCAAAATAGAGACATTCAGGCTCAGGTATTTAATTAGCTTCCAATAAGCTTATGTGTTTATAACTAGATCTGTCCAACTGTATCAAAGTTTCTCTGGAAATTTTACACTATAGCTGTGCATTCATGCAGAATAAAGATCCTTTTTTCTTTCATTGTCATGGCAGTTAAGTCTCAATTGAAATTGGTTTTGAGGAGCAGACAACCCTATTAATCCTAGCTATTTTAATCTGGTGACTGATGAAAAGATTCAAGAAAGGAGATGGTAGTTAGTCAAACAATTTTTAACCGAACTCTGGATCCATATTGAGGGAGCAAAACCTTTATGAAGATAGTTTTTGTTTATACCTAGTAAATATTAAAGGTGACAGCTTTACTGCCACTTACATTTTTTCTCCAGGCAGGTGAAAAAGTAAAGAACGTGAGCAGGTTCAACTCTTTGTAGAAACTGCTGATGCATGATAGGTTTATAAAGCAGAGCCCTGTATAAATTTCTTATTGAATGCTTCCAACATGAGCAGTTGCTGCCCATGCCTAATTACCCATTTACAGTTTATAACTGAAAGCAAGTTTGTGGTGAGAAAAATGTCCTTCAGCTACACTATCCAATTTAAGAACACAAAAAAGTAGCGCAGCTGATGCAAGCAGCACCTTGTAGTAATAGCTGGAGATAATCCAGCTGTACTCTCCCCCTCCTTCAACCTGGTTCATCAGCTTCTTCTGAGGTGCTTTCAGTATGCTCAGGACTTCCCCCTCTCTGTTTACAGTCTCACTCGATCTCATCCAGACTACAGAGTATCTTGCCTCCGTGATAACTAGAGACTGAAGAAGAGATGGCAGCTAGCTAGGGAAGAGGTAGGTTACACTGGCAGGATTCAGGGGAAAACAGACAGAAACCAACTCAGAATAAGCTGATATTACTGCAAGAGCAGCACTAAGTTTAAGGTATCAATTTCTATTCGGAAAGCCATCTTTTCTCATACAGCGAAACAAAGTCTTTTCTGGGCTTTTGATAAATAAAAGAGAGTTACTTTGAAACAGAGGCTTAAACAGTAATAAAACACATTAATTAAATACATTTCATCAGGAGATTCAGAAATGACAAACATTTTTCCTTCCTAGTTGGAAAGTAGTTGACAAATTGTGCACTTTCATTTAATTAAAGCATTAATATACTGATGTTTATATACTTATCTAAAAACTTTGAAAAATAGCAAAGTTCCTGGGAAATAGGACAATGCTTTTATAAAGAAAAATGTGTCTCTATTTCATACCTGAAATACTGTTTCATCTCCATCTGTTTTCAAATCATCTTCCTTCCCAATGATTCTCTGTATCTGTATTTGTTAAAACATGAAAAAAACACAGGAAAATTACAAATTTGGTCTTACAAAAATCTCTTTTTTCAGAAACTTGCATTCATTTCACCTTGTCTTAATTATAAAGTCATTGCATTTCTGCAAGGTTCTATAGTCACGACAAAATATTTGCATACTTAGGGATATTTTGCTATTCAGACACTTTTCTGCGGGAATGCCTCACCTACTGTGGTTAATATAGTCAAGCAGAGCATATGAATCTTACAACCCAGCACTTCCTCTATTTTTAGAGATTTCCTTGCACTAGGAGCTTAGCATTCACACCGTAAGATTTCAAAACTCAGGGGTCTAACATCAAAGGTCCTTTGGGAAATAAAAATTATCCTATGATTTTCATGCTGTCCCCCTAGACAGCTTTACATAGTTCTGCTACAGACATGATCTTCTAGACATGAAAAACATACCTGTTCAAATGAGGTACTTTACAAGTAACAAGAGAGAATAATATAATTAAATAAGCAAATATATTTTCAGAACTGGCATTAAGCAGAATGTGGTTTGAGTTTCCTCTCCACCTCACAAATAAATGAACCTTGAATGTGGTAGGTATGAAGATTTTTAGAAGTACTGAAATGACCAACATTTTAAAACATAACTTCCACTGTCCCAAGCAGAGTTTTAATATAATATAGAAAGTGCATTAATTTGCAGCACCCCAAGTATATCTCAGCTGCCAGACTGTATTTTAGCTTGGGAGTTCAACATTGCCACAAGAATGAGTGATATAATGTATCATACGTACCTTTCACAGACATTTGCACAAATCCTCGAAAGGACAGCAAAAATGAAAGAACAAGGGATTTATTACATTTCAGGTATAGATAGGGACTACATCAAGCACTCTGGATTCGGAGACTTTAGGAAAGATGCTTTTAAAGCTCAGGGTTTTTGAAGCTGCTGGTTTGCTTCTCGAACATTTCTGAGTGATTCATCACCCTGCCCATTAAAATTGGGAAAAAAATCCATGACCAAATTTGCATAACTACTATTTTGTAGGGTTTTCAAACATCATCTTAGGGGTTTATTTTTTACTTTTTTTGGTTACCTTGTTCAGAGAAGCAATACGGGCTTGTAAGTAGTGAGCAGGAAAAAAACTCCTAACTGTGTTGACAAAGATCTTCCCTTGGCCTTCAAATTTTGACTAATTCACCTCCCTGTTTTTTTTTTTTTTATAGCCTCAGTTTTTTAGTTCCTCAGGATAGTTACTTTCCATTATTATTTTTAAATGACATGCCTTGATAGTATTTACCAAAAATAAATACTGTAACAAGACAATTAAACAGTATCAGTTCCTCTAAATTTCTCCAAATTATTTTTCGTTTTGATAATTTACAAAACAATTGTACTAGTACACCAAAAGCATTATGGATTACTTCATGGCAAAATAGCAAAAGAGAACTCTGGATAAAAACACAACTGCTCGTCCGTATTGGCACTGAAAAATTACATTTTTTCTTACCTGAAAAATTAATCTTTTGCTCACACACAAGAAATACAACTGAAAATACTTTCCAAACAAGAGAAAATATTATTTTTTCTTTTGGATTTTATTTTTAAACTACTTTTTAAAAAATCTGCATAGATTACTAAAGAATGCAGACATACAGTATAATTTCTTTTCGTAAGTGTTCTGGAAGATTTAGTTTATTGTTTTCTTACACTGTATGTAGGAGCCGGCAATGTGCACTCACAGCCCAGAAGGCCAATAACCGTATCCTGGGCTGCATCAAGAGAAGCGTGTCCAGCAGGTCGAGGGAGGTGATTCTGCCCCTCTACTCTGCTCTCGTAAGGCCCCACCTGG